CTGGCCGTCCCCTCGCGCTTCCCCCCTTGCCCGTCGGGTGGCTCCCCCCGAAACAGCCTCCCCGTTTCCCTCTTATGGGGACGGTCTGCGCCCGCGCTTCCCTGAACCTGCTCTGCGAGATCTCTGGTCCACCTTCCACCCGTTTCTTCTTCACGGTCCCAAAAATTCGCCCGCTGCCGGTTTCCACCTGCCTTCTTCAGACCAAGGCATACTGTTGACCTTTCTCAGCTTTCCCCCCCTTCTTGTTTGTTTATTATTCGGTTTCTAAGCCACTCGACTCCAGAATTACTCTGGACAGCCCCACAAAGTTAGAACAACTTTGCATAAAATAAGCCACCACGCTTGAAACAGAAAACGCCCAAGGGAACAGGACCATCCTTCCATATCCCCCTCGAGCTTAAAACGGCCCACCCAACATCCCACCCAATGCCGCCTCTCCCCCACCCTTCCTGCTCGCCCCGTTCCCCCCCTCCCCCCCCATCCAGCAGAGAGGGCCTGGGTCTCCAGGTCCCTCCATCAAACAGCGCAATCTTGTTAGATCCAGGAGCTGTGCCTTCTCCGTGGTAGCGCCTGCGAAACAGTGTCTCTGCAGAGGTCCGCATGGACCCCGGCCCCAACCCTGACCCATTAGCCTTTTGCAAGGCTTTGAACACCTGGCTGTGTCCCTGTGCGCTTGGTCCTGGAGGTTAGGCGTTGATGTGTTTTTTTGCGATTTGGAGCTTATTGTTTTAACCTTGGGTGTCATGGCTTATATGTTGCTGCTCAGTGGGGAGAGGATTTAAACCGTGCAGGGACTGCCTTCCATTGCTGGAAGCAACTTCGGCATCTGGCTTTGTACCTCGCGTATTCTTGCTGCTGACGCCTGCTACGTTTTTGACCTTGGTGTGCTCTTGACCAAGTCTCTGGCTCTTTCCTCGGCGCTTCTCAAGACGTGTGCTTTCAGACGGACTGACCCGGCGTACCTCTTCTCCTCGGGCTCCAGTAAGCTGTCGTGCACAGCATGCTCTTTGTTTTGCCCCCCAGCCCCACTTCTTCCCCACCCGTCTGCTGCCGTTTCTCCAGCTAAGCCTTCTGGACACCCTCTCAAGCCTCGCTGCGAGTGCCCCGCTCCAACCGCCACTGGTGCCAGCGCTCTCCTCTAGCCTCCCCTCATTTCCCCTCCTTGCAGCATTTCTTACCAAGCCGCTTCTTTATTCTCTCCCCAGCACCTCTGCAAGCCTCACCCCCAGCCGCCCGCATTGTGCCCACATCTTGCCTGCTCGTTGCATGGATGTTTACGCTCTTTGTCGAAGCCAGGGCACAGAGGTGGGGGCCGTACGAAGGATGCTCTTCTGGAGGACGGTTGTTCAATCCTTTAGCCGATTGCAGCTCTTTAAGACCTGGCAGACATCATTTTACCAGGGTTTCCTGTTGGCATCTGCTTCTTGTGTCATCAGCGAGAGCATCCGGCCACTTAGTATCTGAGGATCCAGC